TCCAACACAAATAATATTAATAAATAATAATAGTTTACTATTACTAGATACCTACTTAAATAAGGCAAGTTTATAAAATATGTGCATAATTTAAAGTATTTTAAAGGTATGTATCAAATTTATTAATTACAAACCCCGTAAAAATGATGCGACACTGAAAATAGTGTCTACCTGTTTCCCCGCATAACCCAAACAAACTCTGTTGAACGAAGGAGTAAGTAAGTGTTGAACGCGGACTCTATGAAATATATATGCTCGAAGTGTAGAACGCAAATCGAAATCCGAAATATCAGAATTATCTGAAATAAGTTGTAAAATAATTTGAAAATTCGGAAACGGATGTCAAAAATCTGATACGAATTATTAAGACCATACCCGAACCTCAAAGGTGAAAACAAATACTTGGAAATTTGAAAAAAGCCTGTTGTAGTCGTCTAGCATATAAGGATGTCTGGGTTCGATTCCCGGAATAAATTTTATAAAATTACGACTGGACAAATTAAAAATGTAGTTAAATTTTTAATTTGTCTAGTCCTGATTTTAAAAATATGTTTAAATGTTTGTTTTTAACCTTGTTTTGTTTTTGAAAATTGAACACCCATTTTAAATTACCACTGCTTATGAGCATTCCCTGCAAGTTGAACACTATACTTTTTCTATAGCTATAACAAATTGCTACCCATTTTTAATTAGTTTTTATAATTTATAAAATTAAAATGACAATCTCACGTCTAGATAATTATTTAATATTTGTCATTTCATGTCATTCATAATTTTATTAAAATAATTAGGGAATGACTACATTTTGTTATCAGATAAGGTTTGGTACGGAAATGATTAATTGTTTAATTAACAAATAAGGAAATGTACAGTTCATCAAATTTCTAGAGGTGTTCGACGCCCAGACAGAGAACGCGCTACGTGTGACTAAGATAGCTATTGTACAGTCTGCTAAACAAGTTATTTTAAATAGTTTTTAATATTTTTAGGTAATTAAATTTTAAAAGTGTGGAATAGTTTAGGGATTAAATTGGTCTGATTGGACTTTCTTAGAACGTTTTTAAAAGCAGCTAAAGATAGTATGTAGAATTGAAAATAATTATTATGCCATAAAAGGTGTTTTGGAATTCCTTCAACCTTTTGAAATTGAGTCAGAAAATATAAATTTTATAGGATAGCGGAAAATACCTATAATTTTTTTGTAGGCCTTTGTAAATCGTGGAAATAGTTTATATTTTATTTCTACCTTATTAAGGAAAATGGTACCTATTATTAATAACGGTTGTTTCTGAAACATTACTAAAATTTTCGAAATTTTGTTTTTCTACAAAATAATAAACTATACTATTTAGAAAAAAATTTATTTCTCTTATAATTTTATAAAAAATAACAGGGGAATATTTACATTTCTTGATCTATTAAACAAAACGATAAATTATCTCGACGAATGACACCATGTTCTAGTACGGAAGCTAGCTTTACATTTTTGTTGGTGGTTTCATGGGTTTCATATCAATTTTTTGTAATTGTAGTTTACACGTACATATACCTCTTAACACTTGTTTGCTTTATTAAAAAAGTGTGTTGTTGTGATTTACGTCGAAATAAGTCAAAAACAACTTGAAACCCCATATAAAATTAAAAAGGAGAAACGGAAAAAAATTGAGCCTGTAAATGAACACAACTCAGAAACAAAAATAGCTATCTAATAATAAAAAAATAAAATTTGATTCTTGTGCAGCTTCATCTACATCATTAACTGTTTTTGGTTTTTTAATGGTTTTTCTTGGTGATGAAAATTCCGATATCTCACGGTTATCGATTCTTTTTTTCTCTCCAGAAATGCGGACGACAGTGTTTTTAGATACTCCTGTGGCTGCAGCAACACGATCATTTACATTTTCAAATGGTATTGAAGGTGAATTAAAGTTTCCTTCTCTTCTCATAAACTCTATAACATTGGCTATTATTTCGCGAGATTGACTGTTAATCACGCGGCCTCTTAATTTGCTATTAAACTCCATACTTAGGTTATATTAAACTGTAATGAGCAAAAAACACAAACGAAAATAAAAGAAATGTTTTAGCGAAATTTACATCTGACATTTACGTCCGAATGAAATAGTGAAATACTTGATGCGCAGAGTGTACTTTCATTGCGTAAATCCGTCGGGATGCCTGTCAGTAGTGCTTTCTCTGTCTAGCCGTCGAAAGCCTAGAAATTTGATTAACTGTACCTCATTTCTTAATCAACAATAGTTGAGAAACTATATTTTTATATAATAGGCGCATTTATAAAAACGCATGGAAACGTATGTAATTTAAAAATGTATTGGCAATTTCTTGTAATATTTCGATGCTCATCTAAATACAGGTATTTATCGCAGTTTCTCTTATTGTTACATCTACATGAACCTTCAAGTTACTTAGTAAAAATTCGAGGCTTGTGTTTTCAATATATGAAACAAAGTTTACTTAACATAGGATTTTGGGGAATAAAATCTTCTTAAATAGAAAACATGTTAATTCTAGCCATCAATAATTTCGTCGTCAATATCGGGGACGTGACTCGATTTTCACAACTTTATAAGAGAGCATTTTAAAGTTTTGTTATGTCTCTTCGTGAAATTATCAGATACACTGGTTAGATAGACCGTTTTAATAAATGTAATGAATTATCAGATATACCGGTTAGATAGACCGTGCTGTTTTATTAAATGTAATGAATTGAGATACAAAATTTTGTGAAATTGTAGAGCATACTTTTTTACATATTATGTGACTATGAAGACTAGAGATAAGGAGGCGAATCGGCATGCTCAAAATACGGTCCCAAAAATCACACGTCAATTGAGCTTTTATAATTAACCGCATGGGCGCTGGTACGGTTTACGTTGTTCAAAATACATGGCTTCTTATGGGAATTATACATAATTTTGTCAAAATAATAAAAATAAACTTGTTTATAGCTAAATAAAGCACAGGACATACCGTTGTATTTATTTCTAAATAAGTCTTACATATTTTAATTGATACATTATTTACTATTTATTCCTATTTAAGTAAAATGCAAATTATTGATGATAAGTGTTGAAATTTGATGGGTAGGGCTAATTATTTTTTAATTAAAGCTAAATAGGGCGGAGGGCATACTAAGACATGGTTTAAATGAAAATATTTAGTTAGGGATTTTACAAAATTTTATGAAAATAATAAAAATCAAATTGTTTATTGCTAACTAAAGCACAGAAAATACTGTTGATTTTAATTATAAATGAGTCTTCATGTTAAACATTATTTACTATTCATTATTTAATTTTATCTAAATAAAATGAAAATTAGGTATGACCAAATTTGAAAAGGTTTGTTAAATGGTGAAATTTGGTAAGAACAGTTTTGTGGTAATTTTGTATTCGACAACTACAATTTCATCATCCTGGTGAATAGTTTCTTCAGCAACAAATTCAGTTCGGTTCAATGGTGGTTTTCGTCTTTACCTAATACTAGACAAGTATGAAGGAAGATTCTGGAATATACATGGTATTGCTTCGTTCTTTAATCTCGAAATTTCCCTTTTTATTTTGTTAACAGTACCATTAGTATAGTATAGTATCATCAAATTTTAAAATATCATCTTCGAAAAAGTGTAGCTCGCAAACAGAATCATAGCTAGACAGTACTTTATCAGCCCTAGGAATCACATGCTGCCATTGTTCTAAACGTTTAGGATCCTATAAAAAATATTTGCAATGACTAAATTGGAGTTCAATAAAGAAAAATAACAGTAGTAACTCTTTATCTAACATCAAAAAGCATAAAAAAAGCAAATTTTCTTTTACAGTAAGTTAAATTTAATGTGTAATTATTGTTGTTTGTAAGTCAGGATTTATGACTTTATTATTTTTTATTATAGAATTTTGTAATTAAATAAACTACACTTCGTAAGATACGGGTTGTGACTATTTTACAATAAATATATATTATTTAGAAATAAATACATTATTTTACTTACACTAGGAGCTTTAAAAAGACTTGGATTTTTATCTCCTTGAGTTTTCTTTCATTTTATATCGGATTTATATTCCGTTTTGCATCCCGGAACGAAGCAAATCCTGCTTTGTCGTTTTATGTTACTCATTGTTACTTGTAGTCAGGTTCTTTATTTCAGCTTATTTTTATTCTTTTCACTTAATTTTACAAAAATCACTTTAATTTCCATTGACTTGCGTAGAAAATAGACGTCTCTATGTTGCCACCCGCCAACTACAGTCGTTTTTTGAAACTCCATTAAAAATAGGGACGGAAAGAAATTTGACCAAGGCCGATTCGCCTCCTTATATCTAGTCTCACATACTTTGAAGAAAATCAAAGTATGTGTCTAGTCTTCATATATGTGACTCATGTCAATTTTAAATTTTTTCTTGTTACGTCACTTCGAGATGAGATAATAGAGAGATATTGCAAATTTGTATAACGTCAGCCAGTAATAGTGACAACGTAATTATAGGCAATTAAATTCCATGCTAAAATAAGACTTATTGCAAACCTGAAGTTTTAACATTAGAATCCTTGTCCTTATACATATTTCTAACATCATTTTAAAAAATTTAAATTATAGTTCATCTTTTTTGTTGTCTATAATAGTACATAAAAGGGAAGAGGCATTAGACATTTTCATTTTAGAAGGTTTAGATAACAAAAAACTTCGAACTCATACGAATGTCAGCGAGCACACTTGAAAGCCAAAATGTCGCCACTATCTTCTGCCCTTAAACATCCACAATTAAGGATAGGTACAATTTTTAATAAAGTCAGTTCTAAAACTTAAACAATCTGCGCATGCTCAGATGTCAAAATAAAAGCGGCGCTAATAGTCTTAAGTGAACTTGCAATAACTCTCCATTACAATATGTGAAAGTGGAGTAAAAAATATCAGTTGATATCATTTCTACATACATATGAGCTTCATTTATTACCATTACTTATATTTTATTTTGTAGAATTCCCCTGGCGCACTTATGCCTTCCGGTCCTCCTGGGCCACAAGGTTCATCTAATCATGTTAATACAAATGCTGGAGCCCAAGGACAAGAAAATCTTAATGCTCTTCAAAGAGCAATCGATAGTATGGAAGAAAAGGGTATGCAAGAAGATCCTAGATATTCTCAATTATTGACTCTAAGAGCACGAAGCAATGGATCTCCGAACATTTTTAGTCAAGCTCAAATTACTCAATTAAGGTATTTTTTTAGTATTTTCGGATATTTTTATTAGCTTGCTAATACATAGCTGCTAAAAAAAGTTTTGAGATTGGAATTTACAAAAACGCTACTGCTTAACACCAAATAAATGTCATTATTTTTTCTAGTTAGACATTTTATTTTAAATAAATTTTCTTATATAATTACGTCGGGTCAAAGTGTTATCTATCTTATAAGAATATTAGTAGATGGGATTAGCCAGTTCTGGACCAAGGTCAGAGGCAAGGTCAGAGGCAATTGGTGTAATTAGTAATTACCCTAAGTACCCACCCCCCACCCTTCGAGCAAGTACCCCCCACCCTTCGAGCAAGTACCCCCCCACCCTTCGAGCAATTAGCAAGTACCCCCCACCCTTCGCGCAATTAGCAAGTACCCCCCACCCTTCGCGCAATTAGCAAGTACCTCTGAATTACTCTGTACACCATGTTATTGCATAGTGTAATGAGTGTAATTGCATAGTGTAATGAGTATAGTAAGTACCTCTCAGTACACATAGTGATGTAAGGACCAACCAATTATTCTGTACTGAGTGTAATTGCATAGTGTAATGAGCATAGTAAGTACCTCTCATTACACCATATGCATACCTCTCAGACAGTATTTATTGTGTATATCACGTAGTGTAATAAGTCTAAATACTTCTCTTGTTTACTGTTGTAGCATAGGGGAAATAAGTCGGCGCCATGCACACCCTTGACTCTCAACCGCCATAGCTAAAGTGAATCACCGGTCTTCGGCAGACACGCGCGATGTAAATATTGTTAGAAGGGGTAGTATCCCACCCTTCGCGCAATTAGCAAGTGCCTCCCAATTATTCTGTAAATTATATACTTTAATGAACGTAATTGAGTAGTGTAATGAGCATAGTAAGTACATCTCATTACTCTATACACCTTGTAAGTACCGCTTAAATAGTCATTACTATTTACCTCCTAGTGATTACTATTGTATTCTATATTACATACTATGAATATTGAGAAGGAAAACATAGTGGAGGTGGGGATTTTTAGGGAGGATATATAGCGACCTCATATCCAAATGGAATCAGTTTAAAATCGTAAGCTTTAAGAGTCTTTAGAAGTTTCAAATAATAACTGAGTGTAGTATTGTGTATTATACAGGTAAAAAAAATATTTATTTGTATTCTACTATGGCTCAAACGCAAATTGATGCGGTTAATAAATTACTTGGAGACTGGCCCACAATATTGGACCAAAGAGAACTAAAGTCATTGGTTATAGGTCAACTTTATATTATTAAAACGATATTGGTCAAAGATACCAGATATGGTAAATGTTTACTTATTCATTTAATTGATCGGCACTCACAGGAGCTTTTCCAGTGTTGGTTACCGAGACGCATTTTTGAAATAATGCCACCCGAAGTCATTGCTATGATAAATGATTCTACTGGCCAATATGCCATGGCCTATTTAGGGGAAAAGCCGTGTTACAACTCAACTACTAGGTCTCATATAAGAATCGATCTAGTTGGCCAGCAATCATTTAGTTAAATCCATGGTAGAGTCACTGTAAATATTTTTTTACTTTTAAACACATATAGATATCTAATATACGCAATATTTCATTAAGAATTTCCACAATTTTATCGTAAGTATAACTTGACCAATATTTGTTCATTTAATAACGGCCAAATATTGTTTCAGATTATTTCGACATGTGGATGATGTATTCCGAAGAGCACTGGCCTAAAGCCATCGACTTAGAATCAGCAATAAGCAGGCTTGGAAAGGAACTGGACGCACTGGCGATGGATGCGTTACACTCCATCAATTACGACGCTGAGGTATGGCTGTTTCCAGAAGCTGTGGCCTATCAAAACGATTGTTATTAGAAATACTGTAAAGGCAGCAGTCTTTGCTGCGAATATAATGCATGTGAGCTGGACTTAGATACATTCTGTGAGAAGATGGTTACCCTAAGTTTGAAACGCTTCTTGAACGAGGCCTTACCATACATCACCCCGCAAATAAGGAGTAAACATGGTTTAGATGAAGATGCAGACGATGAGGCTGATGATGAGACAGATGACGAAATGGATTAGGGATTACTTATATAATATATCTATCTATCTGTGATTAAAATATAAATAAAACAATATACATAGTTTAATTGTTTTTTATTTAAAAAAGGTTACATCTTTTTATTTTTGTTAAAAGTGAACACAGGTATAAGTTTGGATACAGTAAATTAGATTATATGAACTACAATGGCATATATTTAGTGTGTACAGTGCCATCTAGTGCATTATAACTTATAAGAGCTTCATGAATAATAAGCGCATACGCTTTAGTGTTGGCGGGAAACTGCATTTTACGTGTTTCGAATTCAACCTTGACATCCACAGTTGAAGATTTGATTGGTTTTGGATACATACTGCAATCAATTACGAATAGAGGGTTCGCTCTAAAGCCATTCAGGCCTAACATCGGCTCAGGATTTTCCTTTTTATAGTAACTTCGCTGAAAATCTTCATAAGCATAATAAGCGGGAGTATCCAACTTTTTCCCAACATCCAAATTCCAACGCTCTAATGGGTAAACTTCAGAATTTAGATATAATCTGATATTGCTTATATCAGCAGCCGTAAACGCCGTCACATCTTCTTTCCTGTTTTCAGTAAAAGAAGTATTTTGAAATCCAATAATTACATATCTAGGTCGTTCCATGGATGTAGTGGTTTTAATCGCCCATATGTCGTTAGAAGTTTGTCTTAGAGTAGGTAATTCATAAAGATCCCATTTATGGTGCGGTATTTTAATGGATTGCAAATGTTTGTCATTAATTTTTTATACATGAGAATATCTGCATCATTTTCGGGAGTAATGTGTTTGACTATCCAATCCATTTTAGTGATAGTTATGTCTGCATCGACTTCTCCTATATAGCAATTTTCGAATGCTCGAGCAATTATTACAGTCATCTCATGCTTAACACCTATTATCCCTTTTTTGTAAGATTCAGCAAAACCAAATAGATGTTTTAATAAGATTCTACCTGTAAATGTATTACTCGTTGAATCAACCAAAACTTGATTCTCTTCGCTGAGGCCCCAACCGGATGTTTCTAATAATTTCGCATGTTTTTCACCATATGACACCATATTTTTTATTGCTGTCGTTATAATAGGTTTTCGACATTCAGCAATCTTTTGTCCACCCATTTCATATCTAATTTCTTCAAATAGGCCAGGAAGAGCATTGTTGGCCAAATAGCACTTTTTATTAGCCTCTTTTGGCTTAAATGTTCCAACTATATTGATGTAACTATCGCAAATTAAGAGTCCATATTATTGATCGTAAAGGTGATTGTATCAGAATGTTTGTAATTTGGCGATCCCGTAGGCGGGTGAATATATCCATCGCATCTTTTGATTGAGTTATCGACGATCGGCTTTTCAAATACGTCCAACATCTCATTTCTTACATAAACAGCCATTATTTAATATCTTATATGGAATCCGATAGATTGAAGAAATTTATAATCTTTATTAGACAACAGAAGTCTTCTTCGCTTTACAGTTACTCGACGAATGTTCATGTTTTTCCCTTCGATTCTATTTATATGATTATTTAAATGGGTGCTAGTTGAATGTCGTGGTTTGAAGCAGAATCCCATATTAGTTTATCTCCTTTAACTCGAGTGTGATATTGATAGTTTCCTCCCCAAAGTCAATCAACTCACCGTTATCATCTACAACTCGGATAGTAATGTTGTCTAGGTATTGCCGACCGGCAGGTATGACTGGTAGATAAATAATGTTATGAGGTTCCTTCGTCAGTTTGTATCCTGGCTCAACGTCTATGTCAAATGAAAAAAGGGTGTGGGCTTCTTTCCCATTTATATAGGAACCAGAAATAATATTACAATCCAATTGAACAAGGTGGAGGTTCATAATATTAATCGGCATTGAAGAAACATAAGCTTGAGGCCTTGGCGGGCACTTCGAATTACTGAATCCTAAGAGGCTAGCTATACTGTTGTCACAATCAAAGTTGATTATGAATTTAGATGAAATTTCACATTTTAGAGTGTTGTTGTTCGCCGACAATTTAAACATAGCATCAAGTTCTCCCTGATTTATAATAGTTTTGGTATCCGGATATAGATAGTCATATATAGCTTTTTGGACGAACTTATTAATTTCATCAATCTCATAAGCGCCGGGTGCCACACGTACATTAATTTTTTTCGGTGCACTGCCTTCCTCGGCCCAACTCTTCTCTCGCTGCACCACATCTGCCCAAAACTTTTCTGGGTCTACCACCTCTAAACAGATGATATTATTTTTTGAGGTGATATTTTTGATAGAATGGTAGGCATAAAATGCTACTAATCCAAGACCATACTGTTTATTAACATCCAATTCGATGGGCGGAAAAAAATCATTGCTGAGAATGCTTGACGCTATGGACGACAAATTAAATGTTCTTGACATGGCTAAGAAGTATGTCACACTGACTTCGAAATCTATTTTCGATTACATAAATTATAAACTCGCTTTTTAGTGGAAATTTTCAGTTCTCGAATTTTACAAAAACAACAAATTACGTGTTTTGGTGTTGGATCGTCGGTTACGTCAATTGACCCACGTTTCGAAAATACCGTCGGACCATCATTTACGTCGATAGATTCATTTTTAGAAAAATCCTTAGGTTGTTCTTCATCATGGGTATTCATCCTTCAGAGAGAAGAAATTGCAAACACAAATGTCCACATAGGACAGTATCAAACTTCTGGTAGCGTTTATAATTATAGTGAACTTCAGATACCGGCCAACGCCCTTTATACAGATAACTAATTAAATCTGAAGGTGGGGGTAAATCACCATAACTATCGAAATATATTGAGGACGCATCTCTTTTCTTGTAAGCGACCCAATGTGTTCCTGGCCCGCTACTACTATCCAAATTTACAATGGCTGATTCGTTTTTTAGTGGCCCGCAGTTTGGTAAATTA